CCGACCCACCAGATTGCAAGACGAGCGCCCTAACCACCTGGACATGCCGGGCCGAAAATTTAGTGTGAAGATGTATATATATATATATATATGTGTGTGTGTGTGTGTATGTGTAAATGTATGAGGCTATAGCTTTTTGCTTGATGCTAAAATTTAGATGGTCATGAAATTCTTGATAGAAACTTCGATTCAGGTATCTCACGTATAAAATATATTCAACTCACTCAATTACTTTCTGCTCGAGCCCACATTAACGTATGATTTATAACGGACAGCAACAATATAAAATTATTATGTTACCTGAACTAGCTTCCGCGTGAGCACGCAGCTCTTCTCCTTACAGTTCACTATGTAATTTCGACCGAAACTGTTTTCACGTTTTTATTTTATCGATTTAATAGATTAACTTATTTGATCAGTTCGTTAATCTACTCCATTTAGTTTGTTTTTCTTCTTCTTAGATTAGTTTCATCTAATAACAACATCTAAAGTACCAATGGTTCTCTTTTTTTTTGCTACAGTGGCTACCTTTTGTGAAGGTGGATAAGATTGGGGCGTGTCTGGCGGTCAGAGGTCCAATGGCGGAAATTCTTCATTTTCTAGCCACAAACTTGAATTTTAGGTAGGTTTTGGTTTTGTTAGCAGAATGAAGAAATGAAATATATATATATATATATACAGGAACTAATGCATATCTACTATTTTAACATTCCATGTGCATCTTATTCATATTTACTTAAAATAAATTGGTACAGGTTTAGGTAAAAGTAAAAGGAACTATTTTTTTTTTAAATAAGTAAAAAAAATCCAACTTTCAGAGCCTAAAATATGAGAAAGTGACACCTGAAATGTAAACATTTACATGAAATACACTTTCAGTATTTTTAAAATGAAGAAATGGTCAAAATTTACGTTCATAAAAGAGAGATATATGACCAACTTCCAATCAAGAGACTGATAGACCAAATGGAAGTTGTTTCGTTGAAACTTTAATTACTTATGTGTCGATCTCTTGTAGTGACTTTTATACTTTCTTTATGTCTGTGGGATTAACTCTCGCTGTGTTTTTATTTTTATTTATATCTAAAATTTAGATAATTTAGTTACCAAAAACTTAGAAGTTCTTACGAATTTAGGCCTGGCATGGCCTGGTGGTTAGGGGGCTCGACTCGCAATCTGCTGGTCGCAGGTTAGAATCCGAGTCACCGAACATGCTCGCACTTTCGTCCATGGAGGCGTTATAATGTGGCGGTCAATCCCACCATTCGTTGGTAAAAGAGTAGCCCAAGAGTTGGAGGGAGGTGATTTTGACTTCCTTCTGATCTATCTCTGCTAGATTAGTGAGGGCTATCGCAGATATCCCCCGTGTAGCTTTGCGCGAAATTCAAAACGAACAAAACAATTTTTCATTTTGTGGACATAACCCTGAAAAGAAAAGAATAAATAGAAAATGAAATTAAAAAAAAAGAATTAAAAATCTCGATTAAAATAGCAGTTAAGGAAGGAGGAAGAGGTCGAATATGCACCCAACCCTCCCAGGTCTACAAAGACCTAATGGGCGATGCCAAAACGATACGATTTGGGGGATCATAGAGTTTATTTACGAGTTTCTAAACCAGGTCTACAAAGACCTAATGCGCAATGCCAAAACGATACGATTTGGGGGATCATAGAGTTTATTTACGAGTTTTTAAACCAGGTCTACAAAGACCTAATGCGTGATGCCAAAACGATACGATTTGGGGATCATAGAGCTTATTTACGAGTTTTTAAATTAGAACGTGCACGGTTGTCACCTATATATATATATATAAAGCAAATTTGTCCGTTTGTCTGTGTGATGTCATAAGTTGCTGTGAGAAATTGGTTAGATCAGTTTCGAAACTGTAAATTAGAGCGTGTTAAGCGGAATCGCGTGTTTAATCCACGCGATTAGGGCTGAAGAAACAAGAATAAATATTCTAAACTACATGCAGGAAATAAAGGAAATTTAATCAGTAGACTTATCTTATCCTTCAATGTCTCGTCTGAAAGTAGCATTTAAAACATTGATTAAGGACAAAGCTAATGAGGCAAACTGACGGGATGTAACGCCTTTTCTGTGCTCACCACGGATATCGAAACCCGTGTTTGCAATAAGAAGAAAGAAAATGCACGACAACATCATGACATGCCACCTGTCGACGAGAGCTTTCACTCTTTATCGGAAGTCGACATTGTATGTTTCGATTTGTAGGGATATAAATAATATATGTAATATTATACGGTAAAATAAAACTGTTACGTCGCAGGTGAAAGGTAATTACCTGTTTTTGTTTACGTTACAGGACTTGACGTGACCAAACCTGATCAAGGTGTACTGTAGTTGCAAAAAGCCATAACATTATTCGGTAATCCTAAAATCCAATCATGTGCATAGCTTATTCATGTTCGTTGTTATTTAATACCCCCCCCCCCCAGTGGCACAGCGGTATGTCTGCGGACTTACAACGCTAGAATCCGGGGTTCGATACTTGTGGTGGGCAGAGCACAGATAGCCCACTGTGTAGCTTTGTACTTAATTACAAACAAACTGTTATTTAATTATTGAGTATATATCATTGCACCCATTAAAAAAGATTATATTGAAATGAATAATGGCTTTGAAATAATCGTATTTATGTATCTACTTATCTATATATGTATCTCAGTTAATCACAATGTTAATAAAATAAATAAGTAATGCCGAGTAATGTTAAAAGTAACATGTTCGGGAAATATCGCTATTCGGTTCATTAATCGCAACTAAAAATCCGCAACCTGGTAAACTTAAATCTATGTCTTCGCAATGGTTTAAAATCCTGAATACTTAACTGAGTGAGCTTTTATGGTTGAAGGAAAATGTAATTTAACGACAATTAATCCTTGCTACCCAGCTTAACTGATATTGGAACAAAAGTAGTTAACCAAGATTTGTTGAGTGGATGTCTTCCGACCAAGATAAGACGAGAGGATTCGGTCCGTATTGATCCTATTCAAGACTTGTATTCGATTAGGACGAAGATATTATGCAAATAATATTTAGTGAAGATAGGGAGTATTCAATGGAGATGGAGCTGTTTAGATAAAAAGGATTCGAACTTTCAGAAACAAAGCATTTGTTCAAGACTTGATCGGCGATTAGGACGAAAATACAAATGGAGAGTATTCTATCCAGATGGAGCTAATAAAAGTCGGGTCAGACAGACATGCTAGAAATTTGAGTATTTTTTGGTGAAGAGGGATATTTTCGGTCGAGACAGAGCTTTTAAAATTAAAGAATATTGAATATTTGAGAATTTGCTTAAGATGGAGCTTTACGAACTTAAATTCCGGTTTAAAACAGAGTTGTTGTAAAGATAGTAAATGGTAAACTCGGAGATAATGAAAATTTGAGTATTTTGTCAAGAGGAGAATGTTGTCAAAAAAGAATTCGCTTAAGATGTCCACAACTTGTCAAATTTCAATATCCTTTGCAAGGCCAACACTAATCTGAAATTACTGACTCAAGAAACCCTCCACATCAAACAGCATTCCCCAACCCCGAATAACATGCAGTCTTCATTTAAATTCCGAAACGTTTATCTGCCCCCCCCCCGGGTTATAAATAAACAATGTTGTTCATCTTAAGTATCGTTATTTTTATTATAAAACAGAATTGTGACAGTATCGAATCACTGAGTTTTATTTCGTCACGTGTCTCTTAGCTACACCGTTATTCAGCCTGAAGACCACCAGTGGGGGTCCAAGAAATCTGACGGTAGTTGGAGTGGAATGATTGGTTTGCTGCACCGGAAGGTAAGTATTATTTACTTTGAGATTTTTAAAAATATTTTAAAGTATGTTGTCGGCCATAAATATATTGGCCAAATTATCTTCCGACCATATCCGTCGGTGATTCAGCTGTGAGTTTACGGACTTGAATCGCTACAGTACGGGTTTGTGGTGGACAGAGCCCAGGTAGTCCATTGTGTAGATTTGCACTAAACATAGGATAATAGTTTCTGCCACTTCTGATAGTTTTATAACTGTCTGTAACTTGAGTTAGAATACATTTTTAGAAGACTTTGGATGACTTGATCACTTTGTACGATATAACTATTTTGATATTTTTATAGATCAGCACGCCTTAGCTGGTGAATACAATCTAAAAAGCATTTCTGTTCACAGTATGACAAAGAAAAATCAAAGTCCACTGCAGATGTCCTGAAACAATAAATAAGCAACATATAGATATTAACCTAAATGTGTACAAATACTTTTCTAATAATTCAATGAAAACATACCTTTAATTAGTCTTGTCTATCTCTAGTTTCATTGTTCAGACATCCCTTTATTTAGTCTTGTCTATCTCTAGTTTCATTGTCCAGACATCCCTTTATTTAGCCTTCCCTATCTCTAGTTTCATTGTCCAGACATCCCTTTATTTAGCCTTAAGACTAAATAAAGGGATGTCTGGACAATGAAACTAGAGATAGAGGCTCTGTCTCTAGTTTCATTGTTCAGATACCCCTTTATTTAGTGTTGTCTATCTCTAGTTTCATTATCCAGACACCCCTTTATTTAGTCTCCTCTATCTCTAGTTTCATTGTCCAGACATCCCTTTATTTAGTCTTCTCTATCTCTAGTGTCATTCAATAAGCATTTATTATAGAAATAAACGACCTTATAACACCAACATGTTGTTTTTATTTAATTAGACACACAACGTTTCGCTTTACAGCTTCTTCAGGAGCGTTCACTAAAACACAAACCGAAACTGACAGTACAAAGCTTCAAATAGCCATTGTATGTTTCACGTATGCTTGTGAAAAGCATGTTTCGTGTTTAATATATTGTGGTTGGATAAAACCATATTACATTGTAGAAAGCCTGCTTCGTATTTGATATATTCTGGTTGGATAAAGCCTTATTACTTTGCGAAAAAGCATGTTTCGTGTAATTTTGTGCTAGACAACCATTCGCATACAATAAGGACCTTGACTCAATAACATAATAACTATAACTTTTTTAATTTTCTGTTCAGGAGGCAGAGTTCCTTGCGACACCTGTCTCAGCCAATCTTCACAGACTTGAGGTAGCGGACTTCACAGTACCTTTAATGGTTGACTCGCAAGGCTTGTTGGTAGCTAGTCCAGCTGAGGAGAACGATGCTTTTGGTTTCTTCTTCTCCTTGAACTGGGAGGTAAGTATAAGCCTCCTCTATGTGAACCAAACTAACGAATATGCATTATTTATTCAAGTAATTCACGACGTAATTAATACACGATTTAAAATATACGATAGAAAATTTAATAAAGCAGCGTTTGCACGACTGCACACAACATCTCATTACTTTAATGAAAAAATAGAACGAGATGTTTAGAAACAATTATAAGACAAGCGTGCCAACTTGATATCATTTAAAGTGACATTCAGTATAAACAAGACTATGTATTTCTTGTGAATATAAATAAAAAATAACAACCTTGAAAATATTACAGAGCTCCTAAATATCAAATGAAATTTTGATTGTTGGTTATGATTACGTCCAGCTATAGAAAGAAAAAAATTCACAGCGTATCATGTTTGAAAAAGATTAGAAACATAAAGAAGCTTTTCATTTCATCACACCAAACATGCTCGCCCTTTCAGCCGTGGGGGCGTTATAATGTGACGGTCAATCCCACTATTCGTTGGTAAAAGAGTAGCCCCAAGAGTTGGCTGTGAGTGGTGATGACTAGCTGCTTTCCCTCTAGTCTTACACTG